ATGTTAGACCCTATTCCATCTAAGCTACTAAAAGAGGTGCTTCCAGAAGTCATAGATCCTCTTCTGAATATTAATATGAATATTTTGTCAGTTTCATTAGGATATGTCCCCAAAACCTTCAAATTGGCTGTTATTAAGCCTCTCATTAAAAATAAATAAATAAATAAAACAACTTGATCCTAGAGAATTAGTTAATTACAGACCTATCTCAAATATCCCTTTTCTGTTAAAAATACTAGAAAAGGCAGTATCCTCTCAGCTATGTTCCATCTTAGAGAAAAATGGTATCTGTGAGGATTTCCAGTCAGGATTTAGACCGTATCATAGTACTGAGACTGCTCTCATCAGAGTTACAAATGACTTGCTCTTATCATCCGGTCATGGTTGTATTTCTCTATTAGTGCTACTGGATCTTAGCGCTGCGTTTGATACTATCGACCACAACATTCTTTTGAGTAGACTACAAATCAAATACAGTCATCAAATCATAGCAGTGAATGACAAGATATCATATCGATCACAAGTACAGTATGGAGTGCCACAAGGCTCAGTACTAGGACTGTTGGTTTTCAGATTTTGCCTGTTACCCTTGGGAGATATCATCAAGAAACATGGTGTCAGCTTTCACTGTTATGTTGATGATACTCAGCTCTATATTTCTTCACAACCCACACAAATTCGCAAAACTAACGGAATGCATAGTTGATATAAAAAACTGGATGACTAGTAATTTCCTTCTGCTAAATTCTGAAAAAAAAACAGAGGTTATTATTGGACCAAAAACCCCTGCATGTAATAACCTAAAACACTGTCTAGCACTTGATGGCTGCTCTGTTAATTCTCCGTCATCAGTTAGGAACCTAGGTGTGTTATTTGATAGCAATCTTTCCTTTGAAAACCATGTTTCTAGCATTTGGAAAACCCAATTTTTCCATCTTAAAAATCTATCTAAATTACGACCTATGCTCTCAATGTCAAATGCAGAAACGTTAATTCATGCGTTTATGACCTCAAGGTTAGATTATTGTAATGCTTTATTGGGTGGTTGCTCTGCGCGCTTAATAAACAAACTCCAGCCCAAAAAAAATGCAGCAGCTAGAGTTCTTACTAGAACCAGGAAGTACGACCTTATTAGCCCGGTTCTGTCAACTCTGCACTGGCTATTTAATTATAAATATAAATCTTGCTATTTAATTATAAAGCCCTGAATGGTTTAGCTCCTCAATGCTTGGGCGACCTCATATTGCATTATAGAACAGGTTCAAAAAATGCTTTAATAATCCAAATGAGCAAACAATCCAAAAGGCAGGCAAGCAAACACAACTTAACTAGAAACTAGAACAAAAGAAACGTGACTGAAGATAAACAAACTAAAAGTCCATGAAAATGGGCATATAAGACAGAGCATATAATTGTGACAGCATCCTGTTTGCAGACTTATAATATTTCCACACAAACTAGATTTTGGGGAAATGATTGCAATGCAGTTCGTGTGCAATTCCAGAATAAAGATTAGCCAAAATAAAACTTAAAAAAAAAATTAGAAGATTTAGAAAATTTAAAAGATTTATGGTTGATCGACCAGTGCATCTCTAGAACCTGAAACTTTCACACACTGCTGATTTAAAACAACTCTTGCGTTCCATCTGAACTCACCATTGTTGTTTTGTGTTGCTGCTCAGATCATCTCTTCATCTGCTCTTTCCTGTTGTGGCGGTTAGCGGTGCATTACGGTGCATGCCCCCTACTGGATTGATCACCTGTGATTGACCGAACCACGGCATCCGTAACGTGACGGTTCAGGACAAGTACATGAACCGTTACATCCCTAGTACTAAGGCATTTGGTTGAATGTTCAGAATCTTGATTCTTGTGTATAGACATTTGTAAATATTTAAAAATACAGATCTGTGCTCTGTTAATTATTTAAAAGTAATTGGAGGGAAAAGAAGAAGAAGAAGAACAGCAGTACAGTACACAAGATTCCCAATAGCCTTTTTAATTTTATTTTTATTTATTCATTTGTCATTATTATTTTTTTACATCACTGTATGCATTCCTTGGGAATTGGGGAATTGAGCCCAAGACTGTTTGGAGGCATTCAATTACACCTCTGACAAAACTGGGTCAGGGTCACACTAGATTTAATGTAAGTTATCATGTTGTCAGATTTTTCGTTCTCAATGTATCAACATTTTTAGTTGTCACTGTTTTGGTTCTTTATTTAACTCACACAACTGCATAATATTTGTACATAAAAGTTTGACAGTTTATTTAATCAGTTTACATTAAATCTGTGAAAAGTGTGTGTGTGTGTGTGTGTGTGTGTGATCTTGATCAATGTTTGATCAACTTTAAAAAATGATGAAAACAATTATTAAAATAATAAAAATAATAAAATAATATGTTATTCAAGTCTTAAAATATGTTTTTCCCATCATATGTTTCTTTGTATTTTGGTCAGGCTTAAGCAGGATGATATAACATTTAGGTGCAAATATGCAGAATAGTAAACCAAAGCTTGAGGCTAAAATGGCAAATATCTCCACAGCTACAGTAAATTTTCCAGGAGAACTGACATAAGCTGGTATAAATGTGATCCATACAGCACAGAATTATGCAAAGTAATAACCCAAAGCTTGAGGCTAAAATGGCAAAAATCTCCACAGCTACAGTAAATTTCCCAGGAGAACTGATATAAGCTGGAATAAATGTGATCCATACAGCACAAAATATGAGCATACTGAATGTGATGAATTTGGCTTCATTGAAGTTATCAGGCAGTGTGCGAGCCAGAAAAGCTAAAATGAAGCACAAGACAGCCAGTAGGCCAATATAACCCAGAACAGCCCAGAAACTTACAGTAGAGCCCAGACTGCACTCAAGAATGATCTTTTCCTTAAAATAGTTCATATTTTTGTATGGAAATGGAGGTGATATTGTTAGCCACAGCACACATATAAGAACCTGTATAAGTGTAAAGGCAAGAACACTGAGTCGTTGTTGTGCAGGTCCAAACAATTTCATGACATTACTTCCTGGAAGTGTAGCCTTGAAGGCCATTAACACCACTATTGTTTTCCCCAGAACACAGGAGATACAGAGGACAAAAGTGATTCCAAATGCTGTGTGACGCAACATACATGACCACTCATTGGGCTGACCAATGAAAGTAAGTGAACAGAGAAAACACAGAGTCAGTGAGAAGAGCAGCAGGAAACTCAGCTCTGAGTTGTTGGCTTTTACTATGGGGGTGTCCCTCATTCTGTAAAACAGGATGGCCACCAGCACAGTTAATCCTGCTCCAAAGAGTGAGAAAAAGACTAGCACTATACCCATAACTTCTGTGAATGACAGAAACTCTTCAGCCTTTAACACACATTTATTTTTTTCAGCATTAGACCAGTATTCCTCTGGACACTGCTTGCAATTATTTGAATCTGGAAAGGAAGTTGCAATCACTAGCTGGAGACAAAAGGGGAAAAAAATTACATGAATGAGATGGACTGTCAGACGGGCTGTGAGATTACCTGTCTCATTACTGATTTCTCCTTCTGCACATGGAATACAGTCATAACAGCAGACAGGTCTTCCTTTTTGTGCAGCCTTCCTAGTGCCTGGAAGACAGCTTTCACTGCAAACAGAGCTTGGCTTCTACAAGTAAAAATATACATATAGTTATTTATAGACTCTGAAGAACGTAGATACAAGTTAATATTTTAGTACAGAATAGTGTATACTTGGAGCATGTAGTATGTGAGGTTTGTCATTTTTATTAGATTTTTTTATTTGTGTGTGTGTGTGTGTGTACTTAGGAATAAAGCAAGGTTTGGAAAGTGTTGTTATAGAAATTTGCACAATATTGCTCAACTTATCATTTATTTATAATTTTGCTCAAAACTCATTCATGAACACTGCTCTTCTGACCACTTGATAAAACCTGCATTATTTCACTTTACTGGAAATGTCATCCTGAAAATGTATCAACTTAGAGATAATGGCTATTTTAGCCACCAGGAATTAATACATTGACAGTTATCTGTATTTTTCACAGTGTTGACTCACCCATAATGTTACTTCTTTCAGACCAACTTGCACTCATAATGGTGCACCACATTTTCTCTGCTAATTTATTGTTATTATTTTTTTTTTACTTTAGGGCTTTCATAAACGTCAATTCAAGTAGTTACTTTTTTATTAATGTTTCCTCAATTTAAACAATGCCATTTACAAATAGTTGATTTACCTCCAGTTGTCCTCTAGCCCAGATTATGTTTTCAGTATTGAGCACAAAGCGCTGGTCAGGGGGCAGTGAGGCATCATAGTTTCCCACTGATTTAAATTGTAATGATCCATCATAGTCCTGCTGCCAGTTCACTACTTCATATTGGGCTACTGCGGCACCAGTTCTGTCAAACCACACACGATCTCCGAACTTCACGGTAAAATTTACTTTTTTCAGTGCCTCAACCACCTAATATAAAAAAGACAGTTCTGGTACATTATCATTGATATATTTTAAAACGTTGTTCACCAAAACTACTGTTACACCTTTCTCTTCCTTTCTATTGATTTGATTTGTATCTTTTACCTGCTGTGGTTTTATTGTCAGGCCTTTCTCACAACCTTCTTGTTCTTTGCACTTTAGTAGACTGTGCAGTGAATGAGCCACAGCATAAACTGCTTTGTAGACGTGACTTGAATATCTTTGCTCAGGCACATCTTCATTGTAGTTTTTCAGTGCAAGTAGATCTTGATATATGCTGCAATTTATTGCATATTGAGAGGGATTCCCCTTAATCTGTGAGCATGGAAAAGCTGTGTCCCAAAATGCTTTTACAACATAATTGGAAAACCCTTCCAAGTTGATTTTTCTCAATGCAAACCCCAGTGACCCTCCCATCACCTGAAAACTCTTTGGTGTAATCAAACTCGTTGATGTTATCCATCCTTCCACTCCAATTATTTGGAGGCCTGTAATATTCAGAATATTTAACTGATCAATAAGTAAGCCCATCTCAATAAATGAAACAAATGCAACAATCACTTTTGCGGTGCCTTTTTTTATTGTATCTACCACTTTTTTGAGTTTTTCTGGCTCTGTTCGATAGAATTTCACAGAGTACTCTACACAAATCCCCTCTTTCTGTGCTGTATTCAGAAATATGGCCATTCCATAGTTTCCATAGTCATTGTCACTGTTTACAGCTCCCACCCAAGACCAGCCTAAGTGCTTGACAATGTATGCAAGTGCTCTGCTCTGGTGGTAATCACTAGAAATAGTCCTGAAGAATGAGGGGTGATCTTTCCTATTACTGAGACATTCACATGAGGCTGTGTGACTTATCTGAGAGAAAAAAAGTGAAAACAAACAATGAAATACTCATCTGCATGTCAGAATGACATCAGTATCATTATGTCAGCTCTTTTTTTATTGCTCTTTACCACTGGAATTTTAAAAGGTCCTGTAGTTCTGGACAGAATCACTGTGGCAGAAGACTCCGTTTCTCCTATGATAGCATGTATAGAAGACTGTCCATTGCATGTCTCCCCTGCTGCAAACTCTGGACCATTCATCAGTCCCATAGTTGCACTCATAGAAGACATTCTTGAACTACAGGTATCATAGATTTGGTAACCAATAGAAACATTTGGGAGCAACATTTCACTTCTATTTATCTCTTCAATGGCAAATATCATTATTTGAGCCAGACGGAAATCTGGTAGATTCACACTGTGAAAACATTAAACCATTGTGATAAATAGCAAATAAATAAATAAATTATAGCATAAGGATAGTATTT